GAATTCTGGGAGTTGAAGTCCACAAGTCTTAAAGTTGCCAAGGTTGGACACCCCTGCCCTAGACAGTTCCACGGCAGTTTTGTACTCTTTCAGGTGATTTTGGGGATACATATTAGCTCCCAGGTGGTTTCAATGATTCTCAAAATGTTAATGACTGGCTGGTGCAAAGAGTATAAATCTTTTTCATTCCCAACTTAGTACTGAAGCAGTTTCTTAGATGAGAAGTGAAGGATCTTCAAGAAAAATGAAGGAAGTCAAGTTGCTTTGTGTCCTTGTCCTGAGCAGCTTTCTCCAAGAAGAATCGCCATCTTCTTTCTGGGAGAGAGAACATAGAAACTTCAACAGAAATTAAAATGTTCTGGGTTTTGACCATTTGCCTAACCATAGGGTTCAGCAATGCCAATTCTTGAAAGTGTATACATTTTCATTATTTCTCTATGGTATGTATAATATGAGAGATCAAACAGTGAGAGATTAAAATATATGAATAGTAAAAGCATAGGCAAAATTGCTCAGTAGTAAGCCAACAGGAGGTAATGAGAATTTTAAAGTGAAAATAGAACAAGGGAAGAAATATTAGAATATGTAAGAAATAGTTCACTGGACAGCAATTCTTTTAGGGTTTTTTTGGTATTTCAGCTAATATTATAATTAATGGAATTATTGCCACAATGCTAAATAATTATTCTATTATTTGTAGAAACAATAACATATGATAAATAAATCAGCGTGTTAATATTGTGCTCTTTTTCAAATAGCTATGGAGCAATGCAATGTTCCAGCAACAGCAAGAATAAATTGTGGCCCTGGCCCCATTACTGAAGCTCAGTGCAGAGGTAAACATTACTGTTTTGATTCAAATGTACTTAATGTCCCCTGGTGTTTCAAGCCTGCTTCAAGTACAAGGTTTGTATCTTTCCCTCTAAGTCACTGCTGGGCTACAAGTTTCTTTCCATTTCATCGACTTTATCTATATGATGTAAGTGTGAAAATGAATAATTTCAGGATCTTGCTTAATTGAAGCCTAAATCATTTATATATTCTGTGAGTTTGCTTGAGGTGCTATGAACTTTTCATGTTATGCTATGGAAAGTACCAAACAGTATGAATATGAAACTCAGCACTCATATCACTCATATTATTGAAATACATATTTTTTTTTTTTTGCAGTTTGTATCATAGTTAGCAGTGCAGAAAAAATAGGGAAATATTATCTTCCAATTTATCTGCCTTTTCGGTGTTTCTTATTAAAAAGTAGGTGTACAATGTACAATGTAGTTTGTATTACTTTCAGGAAAACAAGGGTTGTCACAAAACAGTGCCTTCTAAAGATTTCCAAGCAAATCTGTCTGAATTCCAGGGCAGATCCTTGATGTCAACATATCCAGGGGTTATGGCATATCCAAATATGGAAAACATCCACCATAATTGCCTATATATTGCAGCAACAGCTCAGGGAGACTAGAGCTAAGACAGTGAAGCAGCTGAACATCTTACAAATAATTTGGGAAGTGTAGCCTGCTGCCCAAGTCCTAAACTATTATGTATGAACAAGCCCTTTGTTCTTTGCTCTTTTAAAAATAAAGCACTGCAGACTCTGTTAATGCATGATGTAACTTCACAGTCATTAAAATATGATTTCACAGACTAAGAGGCATTATACAAAATTAATGCTTGGGCCCCAAGTAGGCAGAAAATGCAGCATTATTCCAGAATTCATATCTGCAGCACTAGAGTCAAGTCAGATATTTCTAGCTTCTCAACAGTTCAAGTAAGATTAAAATCTTTATGTGTTTCTTTGACTTTTTCTATGCTTTCTTTTTGTAAGTGCTTTTGAAAGCCAAATGATATTTAAAATAATTAAGCTTTTAAATATATTTTTAAATTGTGGGATTGGGTAGGGTCAGATGAATTTGTTTTTGAAAGTATGGGGGCAGGTGCAGTGAATTTATATGGAAATATGGAAATATTAACATTTTCCCACAGGTATTAACTCTCAAGATGGAAATCTGTAGTGATACAATTTCATAAGCCACTTGCTACAGAAACAATAGTTTCACTTTATGCTGTACTAGTCAGATCATTAGATAAGATTGATTAGGATGATAAAAAGCGGAAACATTTCCAATTCAAGAAAAATATAGACAAAATTGAATGATTCCAGAGGACAATAAAGATACTAAGAGGTTTGGCAAAGGACCCCTGGGCAAAGGTTAAGACAGCTGGCTACATTTAGGCTGGAGAAGGAAACATGGGGAGAGACATGATAGCACTCCTTAAATACTCAATAGCTTGTCATACAGAAGATAATTAATTTTTTATATTTTCTTCTGTTTTTGAAGACAGAATTAAATTTAAAGGCCTAAATTACAGATGGTGGGGATAAATTTCCCCTGAAAGAACTTTAGAATGATACGAATTGAACTGTGGAAATATCTGGGATGGCATTTTGGTGAAAGTTTACAAGAGATGTTGGATAACCAAATGTGACACTTCAGTGTTGGCCTTAACTAAATTATCTGCCTCTTACTTTATGTAATATTTAGCAATGGTATGTATTATATACTAGCAAACTCATTTCTAGTTTGTTGAATTTCATGTTGCCAATCATACAAAAGCTATTTGTGTTCAAGACAGCAGCTGTCTTCAGCAAAGCCAGTGATTAGAAGTATTGGGATACTCATACACCATAGGCAGAGCGAGGAACTGTGCTAATTCCTCTATCTTATATAGCTTGATCTGTGTCCTTGCAAAACAAAGCCCAAAAGGACTATTTTGTTACAACAAATAGTTAAAAAAAACTTATGAGGTACATTGTAGAATACATTGTAGATACATTGTACAAATACTTTTAAAGGATAATAATTCCTTAGTATCTCCACATTAAGTAAAAGGAAGATAAAAATCAGAAGTAGTGCTATATTATTTAATTTATTTTTAAGAGTCAGGCTTGTAGTCTATAAAATACAAGATTTTGTCCTGAAAACAACTTTAATGTGAACAAAATATAATCCAAACCTCTCTGAAGCTCACCCAAAAAATTGAAACTGTCAGAAGAGCCCAGGGCCTTCAATGGGAATAATATCACCACCACACTCTCCAGGGTAGAGAAAGGGCAAGAAATACTGGCAGGAGAAGTGAAACTCTTGGCTGTGAAATGTTTTCCTGTTATTGTTATGAATCTAGTGAAAGTTATTTTCCCATGTGATTAAAAACGCTTACATTATTTAAGGACTGAAGTGTTTTATGGTTGGGTAATTCAGTTGGGTAATTGTTATAGAATCACAACCACAAGTAAGTGTTTTGAATTAATCTTAACTGTGCTGCAACATTTTTGAAGAGAGAGACTTACAATTAGAAATTATGATCATGTGTATTTATATATTTAAGGAACACTGAAGAGCACAGATAGAGGATAAAGGAATGGAATATAAGACCTGTTTAGTACTAGCTACTGCCTTGTGTTTTGGATTTGTTTGCCCTCAAAAGGATAATCGTCCACCATGTAAGTATATAATATTTATTAATAACTTAAGCAAGGTGAATGGATGATAAAGTCATGGGTTAACTATTAATGGATTAATAGGCAAGCAAAAATGGACAAGAGACTCATTTTTATTTGCTATATTATAATTTATTCATATGAATATATATGACTACATTATAATTATATGAATATATATGACTGGGGGGTGGGGAATGTCTCAGCAGTTAAAGACACTGAGCTTGTCAGCTGGAAAGTTGGGCAGCCCAGGTCTGAGGCTCGAGTGCCATGCAATGGGGTGAGCTCCCATTACTTGTCCCAGCTCCTGCCAACCTAGCAGTTCTAAATCAGGAAAATGAGAGTAAATAAATAGGTATCACTTTGGTTAGAAGGAAACAGTATTCTATGTGCCTTGGCATATAGTCATGCTGGCTACATGACCACAGAAATATCTGCATAATGTTGATTCCCTTGGCTAAGAAACTGGTGAGATGAGCACCTCCCCTTAGAGTCAAAGATAGCTGGAAAGGGCAAAGTTTTTATCTTTATTTATATGGCTCTATGTCAATGTGATATAGTTCATAACCCAAATATATGTTTGTCCCAACTAAAGAATGTGGGAATTCTAAAGTCAATGGCCTCATTAGTACACATTTTGAATAGACATATATATGATTGTTCTCCAGAACACTATTTTCGCTTTGGGGTCTATGTCTGGCTCTCTTATTATATCTCTTCAGGCATCATAGAACCACCCAAAAGCATTGGAGTACTGGGTACATTACCAGATACCTGAATGGATAAGAAAGACATGGAAATTGGGGAAAAGATCAAATGGGAGAAAAAGGAAGACATGCTAGCATACTTTTTTTTTTTTTTAGTTCCACAATAAAAATTACAGTGAAAAATTGCAAAAAATACCAACAACCCATGTCTAGACCTACATTTATATGAGATTATTTTTTCCAGCATCAGAAAGACTAGCTTTCCAGTCACAGGAATGTACTAGAGCAAGTGAGGAGGCAATAGCCTGCATCATCTAAGTGATTAAGGTCATATCAGTTTCAGGCAGAAGGCAGTCTGGAGGGTACCAGTCAACCTAAGTCAGTGGTCCCCAACCTTTGAGGCTTGGGGGCCCAGCACGGAGGGAGAGGGGAACCGGGCAGCACAGCTCAACTTGCACAAGTGGCAAGGCAGTGTGCATGTGCACACATGCACAGCACATGTGCATGGACGCTGGCCCATTGCTCATGCAAGTCAAGCTGCGCACATGTGTTTGCACACTGGCTCGGTTCTCGCGTAGCCCAGTTGCGAATAGGTCATGGCCTGGCAGTAGGCCACAGCCTGGGGCTTGGGGACCCCTGACCTAAGTCAAAAAGGTTGAGCTTTTTGGTTGGTAAAATGAGGACCTAGATGATGCTGGCTCTGTAAACCACTTAGAGAGGGCTGTAAAGCATTATGATGCGATATATAAATCTAAGTGCTATTGCTATTGAAGATACTTAAGCATCCAGATAGTATCTGATTTTTAAGACTATGTCTGATGGACAGAGGACATGATGACAAAGCAGAAGATGTGTCTCCTTTTGACGGACATCTGGTAACCATATCCAAAGTATTTGAACCAGAAAACATTTGATTTCTGAGCTGAATTAGCTAGGCAAATAGCATAAAGTATTTGTCCCAGTGGTACTCAGGGGAAATTACAAGCAGGGATGTTTGCAAGGGAGTGGAGGAGAGAGGTGGCAAATGGTGACATATGTGTAGTCACCCAAGTGTTGGGATTAAGAATTTTTGTTAGAATATCTAATGCAACTATGTAAGTCACAACATTTGTGTGAATACTTCATTGAGTGCATGTTATTTTCTCCACACGACACTATTGCAGATTAGAATGCTGAGATTTAGTATGTGCTATCCCAGAAAATAGGCCATCAGAATTCTTGGCCATAAAAAAACATAATCCTTGTGTATTTCCTACAACCAGAAAACGTTTTGGAGAATCTTGAATCTAGATTTAATACATTCTGTTCAAAGTCTACAGGAATCAATGAGGGATTTAGGTGTTCAGACACTGTAAATCTATGTAGGGAACCTGCCAACATATTTTGAAATTATGGCTATATGATAGAATTTTTTATTTCTTAGTATATTAAACAATCTGTGTCTGTGTGGTGTGTTTAATAGACTGGATTTATTTATAGTCTCACTGAAAGCACCAGTAGTTAATATAAAAGAGAATATTTATATCAATCTTCTATATATGTTAAGAAATTGTAAAACCATACAGAGAAGAAGCTGTTATTAATAATCATGGGATGATTTGAACACAACTCATAATTAAGATTCTACGATCCACCCAATCTGCAGAGAAATAATAACTGTGATTGTTCCAAATGTATAATTAATAAATATTAGTACAGAATGATTCTTATCTCTAAATAATTGGTTATTATCTTCAGTATTATGATTCTTGTATTTTCCATTTTGAAAAAAATGAAATGAGCACATCAGAAAAAGAGCCCTGGTAAATATATCTAGTCAGAAATACTGATTACTGAATTAGAGAAAAATGTATTCACAAAGAAGAAAAGATTGCAGGCAACTGCCCAATTCCTTTCTTCCAAACAGATGCCTGCCAATGTCTAATGGAAACCAGTGAAAGAGAGGAATGTGGATTTTCTTCAGAAAACATTACTGCAGAGCAGTGCACAGAAAATGGATGCTGCTTTGATGCATCGGTGCCTGATGTCCCCTGGTGCTTCAGACCATCAGGTGAAAGAGGTAATGACAGCAGAAAGGGAGATTGTCAATGGAGATTCTCAGACATCCAGGTCATGGTGATCCCAAAAATGGGATATCAATCTTTTAGATGCTGCTAATCTACAGCTTCTAGAACTCCTGACCACTAGACTTGCTTCCTGGAATGGCTGGAAATTATATTGTTATATAGTCTTTTTAGTAATTCCACAAAATTTCCACACCCATCTGCATTATTCAGGTGACCCTGAGGGCACAGATAAACCTCCAAGTGGCCTCAATGACTTTCAGAAAGAGTGCTAACGACCAGATGACTGCAAGGAATATAAACCCTTCTGTTCTCCACCATCCAGTCAGAACAGAAGAAGCTTCTTGGATGAGAAACAAAATGTCTTCAAAGAAAAACAAAGTCCAGTTGCCTTTTGAAAAAGCACCTTTGGGAAAACCATGACCTGGATGACTGAGAATCTTCACAGTGATTAAATAAATATTTTGTAGCTTTAAAGAATCCCAGTCACATATATTTCTAATGCATATGGTTGTTTAAGTGGAAAATCTCCATCCATAGACCAACATCCTGTAAGAAACTGTTAGTATGGGAAATTTTTACCATGAAATGCATTGATTCAAGTAATTATGGGAATATTGAGAGTGTTGTGAATCAATAAAAGTTGATATTCTAAATGCAAATCAGGGGTTGAAAACCTGCAGACTTGATTGGTCCTTGTACAACAACTTGGGATTGGGCCAGAACTAGACCCTGATTGGCCACTTTGGGAACACTTCTTATTGGTTAGTAGTTTGAACCTATTGCAAGTTCATTGGTTAATAAGGTAGCAGCTAACCTATAAAAGGGTTACTGCTGCCCATAGCTTTGCTCTGTTCCATTCTGATTCCTGTTATTATTAAAGAGTTGAAGTCACTGGTCAGATGTCTGGTCTCCTTATTCTCCAAACTTAACACTGGCGACGAGGATGGGATACGGAGACCGAAGAGCTGACTAAACCTACAGAGCAACCTACAGAGCACGTGGTCGAACACGCACCATCAACGGCAACATGGCCAGCGGTGCCGTACCACCCGCTCCATTCAACCCAGAAACCGAAGACTGGGAGGCCTACATGGATCGGTTCCAGATGTTTCTGGAGACCAACAATTTGAAAAATGCAACAACCGGCAAAAAAAGAGCTATCTTTCTAACTCACTGCGGGCCAACCGTGTTTAAGATGGCAAAATCACTTGCCAAGCCAGCAGAGGTAAAAGAAATGGACTGGGACGTCCTCGAGCCGCTACTAAGGGCTCACTACGCGCCTTCCGTGCCAACCCTAGTAAGAAGACACGAATATTACCAGAGGGACCAACGGAAGGGCGAAAGCCTTGCCAATTACATCGCGGACCTCCGGAACTTAGGAGGCCTCTGAGGATTTGCAGACCTAGAAGAAGCCCTCCGGGACTGCCTGGTTCTGGGCCTAGAAGACAGCACGATCCAGAGTAAAATTATGGCCAAGGGGGACATCAGCCTCACCGACGCTCTTAAGGAAGCCTCGGCAGCGGAGGCAACTAAGAAGTCGGCAGCCCAAATGCGCCGCACCAATGCTCCGCTACGTAAACTCGCAAAGGATACCTCACCTCGCTCGGAGAGACACCCGGTATCAACTCACCACAAAGACCTAGAGTCCCCGTCCGACAGCGATGAGGAAGAGGTCAATCAACTTCGAACAGAGAGAGACCAGTCCACACAACACTCATTTCGACCGTGCGCCGGCTGTGGAGCCAATCACCCACGAGCCGGCTGCAAATTCCTTGACGCACTCTGCCGCCATTGCGGGAGACGAGGTCACATCGCAAAGGTTTGCAGAAGCAAACAGAATTCCAAACCCCGACAGGCCGAATGCCAGTCTTCAGGATTCTTCGGCACACACCGAGAAAAAGTGAACCACTCCTACAGAAACAAACCGTCCACCACTTCCACCAGGCGCGAAGAAAACCGGCGGGAAGAGACCCACCAAACAATCACCATACGCCACGCCACATCCCTTGATGCCGGGAAAATCCGAGTGAAGGTCGCCATCGAAAACAAACCTTGCGTGATGGAGGTAGACTCGGGATCTTCCCTCTCGATGGTGTCGTGGAAAACGCTCCAACAGCTCATTCCCGCGATCCGCTGCCAAGACCTTAACCCTCAAAGGGTTATAATCAAAGATTATCAGGGAAACAGAATTCCCGTTGTCGGGTCCCGCAGATTCCAGGTCTCATTCAAGGACCGCACCGTCGCACTACCACTGACTGTTGTGGATCAAGACAGGCCTAGTCTTCTAGGCCTTCAATGGTTCGGGCCGCTCGGAATCACTGTAGCCGGAGTCCACAAGGCCGAAAGCATCGATTGGGAGGAAGACCTCGTGCAAGAATTCCAAGTCCGTTTCGCGAACGGACTAGGCAAGTATAAGGGGACCCCAATCTCGTTTAACTTGAACCCTGAGATAGCACCCATTCGCCTTAAACCGCGTCGGGTGCCGTTCGCCTTGAAGCCTAAAATTGACGAACAACTCGATAAGCTAATAGCGCAGGGCGTACTGGAACCCACCGACCATGCCCGTTGGGAAACCCCAATAGTGACGCCTATCAAGCCTGATGGGTCCTTAAGAATTTGCGGAGACTACCGGGCTACATTAAACCACGCACTACAGCAAAGTGCTTATCCAGTACCGGTAGTACAACATTTGCTCCATTCCCTGGGCGGCGGGAAAGTTTTCGCCAAACTAGATCTAGCCCAGGCGTATCAACAATTGCCGGTAGACCCAACCACAGCTGAGGCACAAACGATCGTAACACATAGGGGCGCATTTAAATGCAACCGGCTCCAATTCGGGGTAAGCATCGCCCCTGGAATCTTCCAGAGTTTAATGGAAAGGTTGTTACAGGGGATAAAAGGCGTTGTCCCATATTTCGACGATGTACTCATCGCCGCCCCTAACAGAGACATTCTAGAAAAAAGACTCAGAGAGGTTTTACGAAGATTCCAGAATGCAGGCCTCAGAGTAAAAAAGGATAAATGCCAGTTATGTACCGAAAGAGTAGAATTTTTGGGATATCTCCTGGACAGCCAAGGAATTCATCCCACCGAAGACAAATTACGAGCAATTAAAAAGGCACCCACTCCAAGGAACAAGGCAGACCTACAGGCGTTCCTTGGACTTATCAATTTCTATAATGTTTTTTTACCCCACAAAGCAACAGTAGCTGAACCATTGCATAGACCATTAGACAAAAAAGCAACGTGGGTTTGGGGGCAACGGGAACAACATGCTTTCCAACAAGTAAAGAAATTGCTAACTTCGGATTCAGTACTTATGCAGTACAACGAGACTCTGCCGCTCACTATCACGTGTGACGCGTCGCCTTTTGGGGTTGGGTCAATCCTGGCCCACGTGTTACCAAACGGAGCAGAAGCCCCCATCGCGTTTTTTTCACGAACCTTAGCTAAAGCTGAACGAAATTATAGTCAGCTGGACAAAGAAGCTTTAGCTATTGTTGCTGCAGTTAAAAGATTTCATGAATATGTTTATGGCCGTGCATTTACAATAATCACTGATCATAAACCGCTACTGGGGATCATTGCGAGTAATAAACCAACCCCGTATATATTGTCCCCCAGAATGACCCGATGGTCCGAATTCTAGGCGGCCTACAACTACACCTTGCAACACCGCCCGGGGAAATCGATTCTCCACGCTGATGCATTGAGCAGAACACCGCTTCCAGACTCTGTTGTGGATCCAGCCCCAACCATCTCAACGCTCCAGATCGAAGCTCTACAGGCACCACCCTTGACGGCTAGAGACATTGCTTTTGAAACGAAACGCGACCCCGTTCTGCGACACATACTCCGCTGGGTTGAACGGGGGTGGCCGACGGACCAAATAGCACCTGAATGGGCGCCTTTCAAAGCCCGCCAAACCGAGCTGTTTTCCCAAAAAGGCTGTATCTTGTGGGGCGATCGAGTCGTAATCCCTGACAAATTGCAACAGACTGTTTTGGCGGTATTGCATGAGGGACATCCGGGTATTGTGCGGATGAAATCACTCGCACGCAGCTACGCTTGGTGGCCGGGAATCGACAAAAGAATCGAGGCCTGGGTCGCTACTTGCCAACGTTGCCAGGACGTCAGCAACGCCCCACCTAAAGCAAGCCCAACCGAATGGGAAACGCCGAGGGGACCGTGGTCCCGTATTCATATTGACTTTGCGGGGCCTACCAAAGGGCACACTTTCCTGATTACTGTCGACGCCTATTCTAACTGGCTCGAGATTCATCGAATGCACACAACTACAACAGACTCAGTTATTAATAAATTAAACAGACTATTTGCCACACACGGGTTTCCGGACGTGTTGGTCTCGGACAACGGCCCTCAGTTCACTGCATTGCCCTTTGAGCAATATCTTGCCGATCGGGGCATCCGCCATGCGTTAACCTCGCCCGCGCACCCTGCGGCGAATGGACATGCAGAACGCATGGTAGAATTCATAAAAAAGACCCTTCACAAAATGGAATTTGGCAACATCGACGAGAAAATCAATCGAATTCTCTTGTTGCAACACATCACGCCTCACAGCGTGACCAACAAAACGCCCGCTGAACTTCTTATGGGGCGGAAACTCCGATCGCACCTTGACTGGCTCCACCTCGCTTTCGCACCAGAAAAGCCTTTCGGTTCCAGCAGCAAATGCCGGGAATTTAAGGTAGGCAATTTAATCTTTGCCAAAAACTTTTCCGGCGACCCGCTATGGATACCCGCAACCGTTACCCACCTCACCGGGCCTTGTTGTTTTTTTACTCCAAAACTACACTACTTCCGGGTAGTGTAGGTGCTGGTTGTCAGTTCTACATTCTGCATGACTTAGGCCTGGATATTTACAGAACTCCCCTTTTCAGGGGCCATGCAGTCAAAAGCCTTCTTAATTATAACTCTGCATCTTTGAAAAGCATCCTACAAAACCAAATTAAGTTTTAGCACCCTGTTAAGTTTTAACAGAGCCATTAAAACATGTGTGTATATTTTATAAAAGCTTTGTAAGTGGAATTGCTAGTAGTGAGCTCACCAACACTGGCACCAAGAGCCGTGGTGGCACAGTGGTTAGAATACAGTATTGCAGACTAACTTTAATCACTGTCAGGAAATGGATTCTCACTGGCTCAAGGTTGGCTTAGCCTTCCATCCTTCAGAGGTCGGTAAAATGGGGACCCAGATTGTTGGGGGCAATATGCTGACTCTGTAAACTGCTTAGAGAGGGCTGTAAAGCATTGTGAAGGGGTATTT